CGGCGAAAACCCACATGGTTGGACAGATGATCCTACTCATTGTCACGTTAAAGCAGGGAATCGAAACCAACCCCTCCATTCTGCACTGTTGACAAGGGGCAAACCACGCCAGAAAATCCAGATGAACTTTCGCGGTCAATACAGGGATCGAACACGCGACCTCCAGGTTAGCGAGCCAAAGTCTAACACACTGAGCCACATACATTTAGATAGTTTCGAAATAAAAATGAAATGGGATTTAACGTCCTACTGTTCTACTCCGACTGGGCTAATGAAGACAGGCATACGCCTTATAGTATGCTATAAGGGAAATTAAGCCCCGGCAGCGACACTATGCTTACTCTTATGTCGAAATCCAACTGCCAAGGGATCTTTAACGTGCACGCCAATGTATACACGGGACCTCGGTTTTTCGTCCTATCCGAACAACTAGACAACTGTCCTTGTCAGCCCCTCCGTCCTGCACCACTAACAAGGGGGAACCACGTCGGAAAATAGATAGTTTCGTACGGGACCGGGGACAGTCAGCTGTGAAACAATGATTTTCAAGGAGGGCGGACACGATCTGGAGAATGTCCTAAGCAAGGAACAAAATCAACGAAAATAATTAAAAAAACAGCCCGATTTTGTGGGTTGTCGTTTTGAAATTCTTTAGTCCGTTGGATTGGGACGGCGCCAGTCCCCATCTGATATCGCCACTGTTATATGTATTTTAATAAGTACCGGGAATGGGCCCACATCCGGATTCGAACCCGTGACACCCCATTACCGAAAACACATGACTACCAAGACCCCAAGTAAACAAACGTTACACAACAATAGTAGACTGGATTATTCGGGTATTTCTGTAGCCGCGATTTTTTGTGTGTGATATTTACATGTTTATAAAGTCGACTAAGAGATTAGCGAAGATTTACACATGGCGAGGGAAGCTTAAAACATTTTCTCTTGTATGAAGCGGGGATTTAACAACAAATATCTATACACAACTACACAACAACATACAGTTTCAAATTTTTAACATCGTTATTTTAAAATAACACGTAAAGGTAAGCTCATTTTTAACATTTGAAATGAAATTTAAATGGGGGTTTAACGGCCAACCGGGCTAAAGAAGACGGGCATACTCCATACAGTGTGCTATGCGGGAAATGTTGCCCAGACAGCGGCACTATGGCCTACTCTTATATCGAATTCGAACTGTCAAGGGTTCTTTTACGTGCACGCCAATGTGTAAACGGGGTGGCGGTTTTTTGTCCCATCCAAACGATACGTTGCCCCTTGTCAGGTCCGCATTACTGTGTGTACACCATGCAACAGTTATTATTCTACAGCTTGGTAATGCTGTCATACATTAACACAGGAATTACTGGAAACGGCATTAAACTGACTACTGGACTAGATTATCCAGGCATTGCATGCCATTATTATCCAGGGATAGTGACGTGGTGATTCGGATGGGAGGAAACTCATGGTGGTTCTAAGGCACATTTTGATAGGTGGTCTGAAAATACAGATCGATAAAAAGAAAGAAAGTGATATTTAACACATGACGCGATTATATGGAATACAAGTTACTTGAAGAGTTTATTTCAGCGACGTTTAGACGAGGATACTCCCGTCTTTATCAAACAAAGAATGGCAACCATGGTGCAATGAAGATACATATACAACATATAGAACAAAGGCAAACATTAATATACAATCAGAAATAATCATTTGGAAACCATCAAAGGGGTGGGAATGGTGAATCCTTTCGGCACCAAACGACTAGGTCCCGTGTTTACATTGGAATGCACGTAAAAGATCCCTTGGCAGTTGGAATTCGATATAAGAGTAGGCGATAGTGCCGCTGCCCGGGCAAAATTTCCCTCATAGCACACTGTATGGCGTATGCCCGTCTTCATTAGCCCAGGTTAGGAGCAGAACAGTAGGACGTTAAACCCCATTTCATTTCATTTCATTACCAAACGACTATCTGTACATCGCATGAGAAATGTTAGACTGTTACACACCTGGTGGATGAGATTATCAACAGAAAATTTATTTATTTAATTTTTTTTTTGTAGCCTGGATTTCTGACTGCCCCTAAAGCACGTGCCTTATTTGATTAATTAGTTAATCCGACATTGAGGAAACCCCTCGTGTAGACGTTACCCCTGCTGATCCCTATAAACCCCGTTTAGGATATAATTCAATCAACGCCACAAAACATGCAATGATAATGAGCCCTATTTTATTTGGCGAAATAAAATGGGGTTTAACGTCTAATTTTTCTGCTCCAACTGGGCTATAAATGAAGAGGGATATGCCACATACAGTGTGCAATAAAGTAAATTTTGTCCGGACAGTGGCGCTACGACCTACTCTTATTCAAATTCCAAGGTTTTCTTTTTTTACCTGTACGCCAATGTGAACACGGGACCTTGGTTTTTCGGGCCATCCGAACGACTATACGCTGTCCCTTGCCAGGCCCTACGTCCTACACCACTGACAAGGGGAACCACGCCGGAAAATCCCGAAGACCTTTCTCGGCCAACGCAGGGATTGAACACGGGGCCTACATCCAAGTGCTCCCAATCTCTTCCCCCAATAAATAGGGATATAATTCTCATATCATTCTGTTTCTGTGAAACTTGAGCTTTTTTTTTTTTTTTTTTTTTGCTTGAGTGTCCAGATAGGCCCCACAAATCACGAGTTTTCTCGGAGAAGTACCCTCGCTCCACGCCCCCTAACCCAATATCCGGCATCCGCCATTGATTAAGTGTGTGCGGTCAAGGTCATCCTACGGAATCCAATTTACGGAGACGGGACGTCCTCACCGTGCTCCCCAAAACATTAGCTGAGCTGTGAAACCATTCACCTCAAAATGCACTAAAACTCGTCAAAGGCGATGTAGAAATAAGAAAAAAGTTCAAACCCTCGGTAAAGGTCAAAGGTCATACCAGTTGACCTTGGTGACATCAACAATATATATAACCCGTAGTGCATCAATAGTGTCTCCATTCCAAGATTTGTTTGTGTATTTCATTGAACAAAGGTATAAGTATTATTGTCCCTGACGTTGTGCTAATTCCTTTTTTTTCTTTTTTTTGTATTTTCAATCAGGAACTGAAGTACAAAGTTAGAAAACTGTTACCCCACTCTTTGTAAAATATTGTCATTAGTGTGTCCATTCTTAATTTTTGTTTGTGTATTTTCAATGAACTAAAGTACAAAGTTAGGAATCTGTTATCCCAATTTATTTAATTGTCATTGATGTTATTGTGGTTAAATTGTAGAGTTTTTAACAAGTTTACTTATTTCCTTGTATAAACTTGTGTAATTTACTGTAAACGTGGTCTATACTTATATCAAATTATATCATCTATAACGTAACATTTGGAGGTAATATAATAATTATTTTACAGTTTTATAAAATATTTGAGTGGATTACGTTAGACTTTTATAACCTTAAAGTAGCCAAGTCTCTAACTCAGTGTCGTCAAAAATCTTCGAATTATTTGTCAATTCAAATCAACATTGGTGTTGTGATCTTAAAGGGAAAAGATGGGCTTCTAATATCCAATATTCAAGACAAAATAAACATTTTACCATTGGTACACGAATCGTGTACCATAATGCGTTTCAGTGTTATTTCTAGGTCCCATATATTAGCGATTTAGCTCCTTTAAGCCTTACACACACGGGTGATTTGTGAATGATTTTTAATTGACCCTATATATTACTGGGAAAATGTTCCCCGGGGTTTCATTCCACGTCTCGGGAGCGGTGGTGGCTCCGTGAGTAAGACACTGGCTCGCTAACCAGGATCTCTCGGGTTCGCTTCCGGTATTGGCTAAGAATGTTGCTAGGGGGTACAGGACGGAGGGTGTGCCAAGGAATAGTGTCTAGTCGTTCAGATGAGAGGAAAACCTGAGCACGTAAATAAATAACACCCGACAGTTGGAATTCGATATAAGAGTAGGCCGTAGTTCCCGCGTCCAGGTAAAACTTTCCTTATAGCACACAATATGGCGTTTGTCCGTCTTCAGTAGCCCAGTTCGGAGCAGAACAATAGGACGCTAAACCCCATTTCATTTCATTTAATACCCTTTCGAGGTGTTGGGGTGGGGGTTCGACAGTAGCCTTGTGGGTGAAGAAAAATAGGGCATTAAACTCCATTTCATTTCATACAACGTTTCGAGCTTCAAACGCGGAAAACTGGTGTTGGCACGCTGGAAATCAACCAAATCAGACAACCAGACCCGCGGCAAATTATGGCTTACGAAATGAAATGAAATGAAATGAAATGAAATGGGGTTTAACGTCCTATACTGTTCTGCTCCAAACTGGGCTAATGAAGACGGGCATACGCCATACAGAGTGCTATCAGGGGAATTTTGCCCGGACAACGGCACTACGGCCTACTCTTATATCGACTTCCAACTGTCAAGGGATTTTTTACGTGCACGGCAAGTATATACGGGACCTCGGTTTTTCGTCCATCCGAACAACTAGACAGCTGTGCTTGTCAGGCCCTCCGATTATAGCTTACATAAATATCGATCACATGAGTTCGGGTAAAGAGAAAAGAAACACATAAAAAAAACACCCACCAAAAAAAACCCAAACAAATAAAAGAAGCACAAATAAAAACACGTGTTCACACTCACAAATGAAACACCCAACCACGTAATTTTGTAAAATCTGTAATAATGAAGGTCACCAATGTTGGTCTCCCCGCCAAGAATTTTACTATAAAATAAACTCAACATGTCGGTATTAAACCACAACAGATAATACATAGCGCGTGCGCAACACAGCAGGCTCATTTTATAACTTTAAAATCTTCTTTTCTGATAAGTCCGCCATAAAGTATCATCAAATCTCCCGCCGTTTTTATCTCTTTACGATAATTAATGAAGTTAATCTGCGAAATTAAAGCCTTCTCACCTTGGCGGTTTTTTAATTTCCTAATTATAAATGTTAATTCATGAAAATATTTATACATTTACATTGGATTGTTTGCGTATTGATGGTTTTATGAATTAATAGACTTTGGGAAATTATTACGGGTAAATATTTTGATTTTGTTTTAGGCACTTTTAGACATTATGTTCTATCTATTTTCACAGCAGAGTTGTATTTTGTATAACGTAAGGTTGGTTTGGGATCTATTTTCACAACAGAGCGGACCTTGGATACAAATTTAAAAGTTTTGTTGTAATTGCGTGGGAACCACTGTGGCCCAGTGATAAAGGCGCTTGTTCGTTAAATCGGAGGCCATAGGTTCGATCTGGATGTTTGCCTATAAAGGACCTCGATATTTTCCAACCTGGATCCCCCCTTATTGTATAAGGACGAAGGGCCTAGCAAGGAACTGCGTCAAGTCACTTGGATGGAACGGAAAACCGAGGTCCCGCGTACACCTTGGCATGCACGTTAAAGATCCCTTGATGAATAGTAGAGGGAAACACCGCTGTCCTGGCAATTTATACCCCGGTAGGTGCAGATAAGCAGGACCCCATTTCTTTTCATTTTGTCCAACGTCGTGAGTTTTCTCCGGGTCCTTCCACTACTCTCTCACTCTCACTGGGGGCGTGATTGTATGGACAAATGGTTAGCGCGTGCGCGTTGTATCATAAGGTCTGCCATTCAGTAAACTAGCGTGGTTTCGATTTCCCGGTTGTACACGACAAGGAGTAGGGTTGCTTGTCCAACTTCTTGGGTTTTCTCCGGGTCTTCCGGTTTCCTCCCACTGCTAAAGACTCCTACGCACAAGTGAATTTTTAAAATAAAATTGAACCATATGTTAGTTCCGAAATGACCTAGCTCGTGTCGAGTGGACGTTAAACTCTTAATTGAATATAATAAGTTTATAAAATTGTGTTTTTCAGATGGCGAATATCAACATTTTTAGCATTCTCCTCATTGGATATACTTTGGTCACTCTAACATATGGTAAGTTTAATTTATTTATACATACATTATGTAAGGTTTAGATAAAGAACCGACAGTTCTCGCTATAATAGTTAAAATCTAGATAACAAGGTGTGAATTTCTTGAAAATTCTTGTTAATTCATTTTTTAATTAAATCATGAACCCTCAATCGTGTTTAAATCCGTTGAAAATCTAGAGCATCCGATGGCTTTGGGAGCCGATGGTCTTGTCAAGTTATTACATGTCTAATTAATAATTTAGATAACATTTAAGTTCCAAAGACCTGTAAAAGGCAGATTTAGCTCTTATTACATGTCTAATTAATAGTTTATATAACATTTAAATTCCAAAGAAAGACCTGCAGTAGGCAGATTTAGCTCTTGCATAATTTTGCCCTTAAACATGCAATATTATTATTAATCCATATAAACAGTGTCGTCGGATTTAGATGAAGAGACTATCTTCCCACGGCTATTCCATTTATATTGGATTTAGATGAAGAGGGGCTATTTCACTTATAAGGCCCCGCCTAGTCCCCTCACCCACGCGCGGCTTCAGGAAGACGAGAGTCTGTTTAACCACAATTGAGCAAAGCCGTGTATAATGTCGGATGTTTCAGACTACAGTGCCTTTAAGTAAGACAGTTGCGGATATTTGTCTACATGTTAAATCTTAGGTCCCAGGACCCCCCCCCCCCCTCCGACCCCTCCTCCCTTTCCCCCTCTCCGTTTTCCCAACCCTGTTCCGGACTGGACGACGGGACTGGACTACACTGGACTAAATCAATTTCACATGACCTACTACACCTACAATGTACAATATAGTACAACATGGCGCCAAGTTATGGTATGATTAAGCCCAGCGTCTTTCACATGTTTAAAACTATTTAAATTATTGTGAAATGTCAAGAAAGGGATTTTTCTGGTGTAAGATCGGGGTGGTAACTCTTCTCACAGCAGGAGGTTGGGAAATATTTCAAGTTAAAATACCACATACAGCGATTCAACAATATTGTCGTTTTTATAATATGGAATGTGCACTTAAAGACGTATTTCCTCGTCAATCTGATCCAGTGAGTAAGTAACTGGATCACTAACGTGGAGGTATCGGGTTCGACCCTGGTGTTCCTCCGGATTTTTCAAAGTGATCTCAGTTCGTCGGTGATGTATGACGGGGGGGGGGGGCTGGCAAGGGACATTGTCTAGTTGTTCGGATGGGACGAAAAACCGAGGTTGCATGAAAACATTGCCATGCGCGTAAAAGAACAATTTGCAGTTGAGTTCGGCGAACAGTTGAGTTCGACCCGGGTGCAAGTTCCCTCATAGCACACTACATGGCGTTTGTCAGTTTTCAACAGATGTTTCATGCAATCGTGAAAATAGACGTTTCATAAACTCGAGAAAATGGATGTTTCATACGCTCGTGAAAATAGATGTTCATAAACTCGTGAAAATGGATGTTTCACACGCTTGTGAAAATGGATGTTTCATACGCTCGTTAAAATAGATGTTTCATACACTCGTGAAAAAAGATGTCTCATACACCCATGAAAATAGATGTTGCGTAAACACACGAAAATAGATGTTTCATAAACTCGTGAAAATAGATGTTTCATACACACACGAAAATAGATGTTTCATAAACCCGTGAAAATAGATGTTTCATACACTCGTGAAAATAGATGTTTCATAAACCCGTGAAAATAGATGTTTCATGCACTCGTGAAAATAGATGTTTCATACACTCGTGAAAATAGATGTTTCACAAAGTCGTGAAAATGGATGTTTCATACGCGCGTGAAAATAGATGTTTCATACACACGTAAATTAGATGTTTCATAAATTCATACCCTCGTGAAAATAGACGTTTCGTATACCCATGAACATAGACGTTTCAAACACTTGTAAAACTAGATGTTTCAGCCACTTTAAACATCGTTTAGAAAACAAAAGATTTAGAAGGTAACTAACTTCACAGGAATTAAACCTATTTACACACTCATGTCGTAACTAGGCCCCAACCTTCTCCGTGTCCCAACCTTTTCCCATAAGTGAGGCATACACACAAAAACAAATAACAACCCTAAAAAATGTTTTCAAAGTTGCAACACAGCAAATTAAGAATAAACAATAACGTTTTTTTGTAACAGTTTTTGAGAAGATAAAAATGAAACCGTAAGCAGATATTTTAAATTCCTGTCTAAACAAACACCCACCTTGCTGTTGACTTTATTTAAAAGTTTTCTGTAATAAAACAAGCGGTTGGCATGCAAGATAAGCCCACATTTTGCAAGAGATGGGCAGAAACAAGCGAAAAAAAATCATGATTTTTTTGTACAATCAGGGGACATCATCCAGGAAGTTATGGTCCGATATGCGCGAATATGAAAAGGAATCGAAATCTCTGGAATATATACATAAACTTTAAGTTTCCTCAAAATCAGATAACAATTCTGACCTCTAGAGGGCCCACAAACTTGGTATTACATACTTTTACACCATTTGCGTTGCGTTCAAGGAGTGGTCATGTTCTCGGGCATTTTCGGTCCGATTTTTACAAAATCCAAACTCAATCATCATTAGGGTACAACGGTGATATATTTAAACAATTTTTAAAATTGAATAAAAATTGGGTCGACAAGCTAAAATCGCGATATTTTCGTACAATCAGGACCCGTAATCCAGGAACCTACGGTCCGATATGTGCATTTTCCGGCGTGGTTCCCCCTTGTCAGTGATGCAGGACGGAGGGCCTGACAAGGACAGCTGTCTAGTCGTTTGGATGGGACGAAAACCCGAGGTCCCGTGTACACATTGGCGTGCACGTAAAAAGATCCCTTGACAGTTGGAATTCGATATAAAAGTAGGCCGGAGTGCCGCTGTCCGGGCAAAAGTTCCCTCATAGCACACTGTATGGCGTATGCCCGTCTTCATTAGCCCAGTTCGGAGCAGAACAGTAGGACGTTAAACCCCCATTTCATTTCATTTCATTTCCGATATGCGCGAATATCGCAAGAAATCGAGATCTGTGGGACCTCTAGAGGGCCCACAACCTTGATTATTACATACTTTAACAACATTTGCGTACATAGAGCGGCCAATTTGTCCAGCAGTTTCAGTCCGATTTTCACGAAATTCAAACTCAATCATCATTATGGTGTAACGGTGGTTTATTTGAACGGTGTTGTAAATCGGATAAAATTTGTGACCTCTAGAGGGACTACAAGCTAAAAAGCGATTTTTCGTACAAACAAGAAGTCGCGGTTTGATATACGCCAATATCGCAAGGAACCGAGATCTGTGGGTTACAAACATATATTTCAAGTTTCATCTAAATCAGATAAAAACTTCTAGAGTGTCGACAAGCTAACAACGTGATTTTCGTACAATCAGGGGCCATAATCCGATACATGCCAATTTCGAAAGGAACCAAGATCTGTTGGAGATAAACCTATATTTCATGTATCATCAAAATCTGATAAGAATTGTGACCTGTAGAGTGTTGGACAGGGCAGGGCCGTAATTACCTCAGAGCAACGAGGGGGGACTGGAAGTCTTAAATAAAGTCTTTTGTGTCCTTTTGGAGGCATTCCATGCCCCTTGTACACTATATATGTTGTTAAAATTGAGTCTCGAACGGGAATATCAGTTCAAAATGGCCCCGATCCGTTCAGTATTTACATTTGAAATGTCAGTGGTGCAGGACGGAGGACCCGACAGGGACAGCTGTCTAGTGGTTCGGATGGGGCAAAAAACGAGGTCCCGTGCACGTAAGAGATCCCTACTCTGTTGGAATTCGATATGAGAGTACGCCATAGCGCCGCTGTCCAGGAAAATTTCCCCTCACTGCCCGTCTTCATTAGCTCAGCCGAAGCAGAACAGTTGGACGTTCAACCCCATTTCATTTCTTTTTGTTACAAAGCACCGAAGAAAGTTTTGTCATTAGACGGGCATTTGTCCAATATTCAAAAAGTCTCCGATATAAACCCCGATTACGATGGATGTAGTCTTATTCCGTGTAAACCGTTTTAAGGAATTTGACATTTCACGTATCGGGATATAATTAGGGAGATTAAGAGAAAGAGGCGAAAAATGCGGAAAGGATTTACATACTTGGTGTTAACAAGTACAGTTGTATTTTCAAAATGGCCATCATCAAAATAAGTTAGATTTCACAGATAACAAAACTAACTACGTCGCAATAAAAACAAAAAACCAAGGACAGCGTCCATGTTGTAAACACGTACGTAGTCAAAACATAGGTGTGTGTACCAGTCATATAAACTTTGACCAGGCGTCAATAACTCACTGAACCGTCGTCTCAACGCAACATCAAAGAACATACCGGAGACAACGTTATTTCGAACCGGACGGAAATAGCCGAAAAGCTTTGAAACCCGAATGAAATTTCGTTTAAAGTCTTTCATTTCTGCGTTGTATCATAAAGTCTGTCATTGAGTCAACTGGCGTGGTTTCAATTCCCTGGTTGTACGTGACAAGGAGTAGGGTCGCCTGTCCAACCTCGTTGGTTTTCCCCGGGTCCTCCTGTTTCCTCCCAATGCTAAAGACTCCTACCAGCAAGCGAATTATTGAAATGAAATTGAACCATGTGTTAGTCCCGAAATGACCTAGTTTGTGTCGAGTGGACCTTAAACCCCATTTCTCTCTCACCAATATGTATACGGTACCCCTTTTTTTGATAGGGAGTCTTGGTGACTCAGTGAGCAAGACGCCGGCTTGCTAAAAAGGTTCGTTCCCGGTGTTAGACGAGAAAGTTCCTCGGGATTCCCATGGTCAGCGTAAGAGACCAGTTTCCCTGTGCGGAACTATATTTGACAAGTATACGCCACCAATACAAACTCATAAGTAATAACTATTTGCTTGGTCACTGAGAGGGATGACTTCAGGGGTGGGGGTGGGGGGTTCTTCTTTGGCAAACTAAATTTTTAAATTATTACAAAAATAAGTTAGGTATTTAAATATCAGGATAAAAGAAATATTTCCTATTTAGTGTAAATGGGTATATGAAATAGTACGCGGTACCGTAAAATGATTAAAAGGCGTCAATTTTGCCCGGATCAGGTTGTATTACTACGTCCGATATAAACAACTTGAACAGAATTAAAGGAAGACTTTTTCCATTTCTAAATATTCAAATTTTACTAAAGTGTACTAAATAACATTTTTGTTTCAATCTGATTAAAATACAGATCTATATTTCGTTTCGGTTTTTTATACGTTGCGTCAGACGTCAGACGAGCGGCTTTTGACCCTATGACGTCAGACTTTTTATTTACCAATCAGCGTTGATGTTTCTAATGGGTTACCCACAGTTCCGTGCACCTCAAGCCAAAATCCCTCCCATCATCCAGAACGTGGGTAATATAACAACTCCTAGTGTAGTAAAGACAAGTAAAACGAAATTTTGAACTATAAAAAACGAAACGAAATAGGATCTGTGTTTTAAACAGATTTATTTTTGTTTATAACTATAACTATTGATATTGTTTTTTACAGGCCAGTTAGATTTATATCGACGTGTTTGTTATTTTCCTAGTTGGAAGTATGCTCGTCTCGGTCCGTCTCAGTTTTCACCTGATAATATAACAGACCCAACTCTATGTACACATATTGTTATAGCATTCGCTGGTGTTGATCCACAGACGTACAATATTAAACCTTTACAATATGATGACGATGGTGCCACAGGTAAATATTGATGCTAACGAGGGGTTGGGTGGTACCCTGGCTGTAGTCCTGCATGGTTTCCCCTTGTCTGTGGTGTAGGGCAGAGGGCCTGACGAGGACAGCTGTCTAGACGTAGGGATGAGACGAAAAACCGAGGTGCACGTAAAAAATCTCTTGGTAGTTGAAATTCGATATAAAAATAGGCCAGAGTGCCACTGCCCGGGCAAAATTTCCCATATAACACACTGTATGGCGTATGCCCGTCTTCATTAGCCCAGTCGGAGCAGAAAAGTAGGACGTTAATCCCCATTTCATTTCACCCTGGCTTTAGAACATAAGGTCTGGCATTGAGTCAAGTGGCGTGATGTCGATTCCTAGCTTGTACGTGACGAGGTGTAGGAACATTAAACTATAACAGGGTGGTGCGCTTTAGATCAAAAGGTCTTGTCATTGAGTCAAGTCACGTGGTTTCGGTCTCAAACTTGTACGTGAGAAAAGGAGAAGGGTAGCCTGCACCGAGCCTCAGTGGTTTTCTCCCGGTCTTCCATTTTCATCCGTAGCTAAAGATCCCTACGCACAATCATATGTCGGTACCGAGATGACATAGTTTGTGTCGAGAGGACGTTACCCCCTCCCTCTGTCATCCCTCTTAGGCATGATCCCCTCCATACTCGACCCGGTCTTCTCTCTAACCGACCCGATCTTCTCCCCAAAATATTTAATTGGCAATTTCTGGTCATTTGTAATTCAAACAGGCCTTGACCTTGAACTGGATGCAAAGATTTCCCCTACTGGGTTCCAAAGCTGACACGGCCGACCCTGTCCATCAGAGGTCACATGATCATTAAAATGATATTAATTGATGATTCTATAGGTTTATGGAGGAACATGACCAACATCAAATTACGATTTCCTTTCACCAAAATCTTACTAGCTGTTGGAGGTTGGGAATTTGGAGTTCTGCCTTTCTCTAAACTGGTAGAAACTGATGACGGAATAGATATCTTTGCTATAAATGCTGCTAACTTTCTGCGAGATAGAAACTTTGATGGACTGGACATTGATTGGGAATATCCTGGACAGTTTGGTAGTCCGGCTGGTGATAAATATAGATTTACCTTATTACTAAAGGTACGTATATCTTTCATACCTTATTACTAAAGTATCTTTCATACCATATTACTAAAAGTACGTACGTGTCTCTAATTTTATCTTTATTGTTATACTCTAAAATCGGATATTACAAAAATATTCACCACAAATAACATATCAACCGCCTGCAATCAGTTGAACAATCATGCAACAGACAATCATGCTGTGAATGAGGAGGGGGGGGGGATCTAAGGCGCCATCGACAATCCCACCCCACAATGAATGTCAACAAACAACTGGCTATATATAGGGCCAAACACTGCCTGAGCGCCCCAGTAGAACATAGATCGTATTGCCTATAGTTGTCATCTCGCCGAAAAGCAGTTTTATTCAAGTTAACATAAAGTTCATGTGATATTATGATTGTTATTAATTTTTGTCAACCTTAGAAAAGTGACTATATAACACCGAGTAACCTGGACGGGTGGGGGGTGGGTGGGGTGGAAGAATGGTAATATAATGGAATGGAGCGCGCGAAAACAATTCAGACACCTACGTCAAGGGTTCTTTTACGTTAACGCAAACGTGTACATGGGATATCGGCCTTTCGTCCCATTCGAACGACTAGACACATTCTGTCAACCCTGCAGCACTGAAAAGGGGATATCACACTGAAAAATCCCGAGCAACACCACTTAGCTCACTAATCACTTAGGACTCCCTGAATAAATCAAAGACTTGTGTATGGACATAGCAATGGATAGTTTGGTTTAAAATGGGTTTATTTTTTTTTTTGTGTGTTCAGGTTCTAAGTCAACGTTTTAAACAAGAATCTGTAGATAGAGGGTTACCAAGGTTACTGTTAACTGTGGCGGTACCAGTAGAAAAAGAATTCGTCGATCAGGGATTCGAAGTACAAAAAATATCCAGGTTTGTTTGCGATTTTAATGTATAATAGGGAGCCATGGTGGTTCAGTGAGTAGTAAGGCACTAGCTAACTAACCAGACGGTCCCTGGTTCGATCCTTATTTTGGGCGAGAAAGTTCCTCGGGATATGTGAGCGGTTTGACAGTCGTTCGATGAAGAATAGGCAGAAAAATCACTGCCCGGGCAAATTTCTTCTCATAGCACACTGCATGCATAGCCCGGTTTGTACGGAAAGATAGGACTTTAAACCCCGTTTCATTTCATTGCAACCTCACCACTCGGTGTATCCTTAAATATAATGGGGGTTGCTCGATTGTCAGTCCAGAACGTTCCGAATTGACAGAATCACAATCAAGTAATACGGAATTCAGTCCTGTCACAGTTCTGCCAGTCCCAACAACTGAGATGGGGTGCGTAGAATCGTGACGTATTTTAATTCAGAAATATGTTACAGCTGTCATGATTGGTTGAGATATTGTTTTATGCAGTCGACACATGCGTTGTACTCTGACACTATTTTCGGAATTGAGAGAATTTCATTCCGGAACGTTCAATCGAGTATCCCCATGGATTCAAATATACCTTGGCGATCAGCATGATAGACCCCCCTACCTACACGTGAAGTCGCAGAGGTGACTGTGATCAATCTCAGGTGAATGCCAATGACCACCTGTAACACAACAATACATTTTAATAGTTTAGTCTAGGATTTATTTATTGACAGCAAGTTACAGCATACATAGATCCAATCTGTTTCACAGAGTATTCAAAAATCTTCTAATATCTCTGTAAAAGATGACTGTGTTCAACACATGGCATCATATCCAGCCGCGTCAATCATTGGTTCAATGGCGCGTGCATTGTTTATATAAGACGTTACTGATTCGAGCAGAATGGCGCCTTTTACTCATTTTAATACCCATTTACACTAAAACAGGAAATAATTTTTACCTACAAATACTTCAAACGTCTTTATTTATTTTTCTAATACATAAAAGGAAATGTTTTAGAATTTAATTTGTCGGAGGAAAAAAGTTAATATTTGTGGCTCATTAAGCCGCATCGATGTCACCCTTATCAGTGATTGTCGCGGCCTAGCGAATATTCACTGCGGATCAGTGTGACATAGATCATCATGGAGACCCCTGGTGAACTCGGCTATTGAAGACAGGCATGCAGTAAAGGAAATGTCGATTTTCATTGTATTCCAACTGTTAATGTTTATTTTATTTGTAAGTCTACAAAGTGAATTTTAAATAGTTGTGGATTTCTATTTTTAGACATGTTGATTTTATTAATTTAATGACGTATGATATGTATGGTCCATGGGGAGAGGTCATAGGTCATCATTCGGCTTTATATGGTAAGCCAGGAGACACACCATATATGGCTCCCCGGAATGTTGTAAGTATTGAGTTTAATAATGTTGTTGATCAATCGTATATATAAACAGGGTACAGTTCATCATCGGTTACCCAGTGTACTCATTCCGTTCTGCTCCACTATACCCTGGGTTAATCTAAGGGGGGGCGGGGACGTTTTCAAGTTATCCGCACTTGGTGATTGTGCTATTTTTATCGACCAATCCCATAAATTGTTATTTGAAAAGGAAGTTGGCAAAGGGAAGTAACTCTCATCGGACAATGTTAGGAGTTGGCCTATTCTAAATGCGTAATTATTAACAACTGATTATATATTATGTTAATGTAGACTAGACTTTCATATAATAATGTAGGCCATTAGTTTTATTTAGAATCGTTCATTCGTTCCCGGAATTTTATGTCCACGTGATATCGTAGACAAGTTATTGTGAATCAAATTGCCAAGTATAAATTCAATAATAATAAACATAACAGAATGACATATTTCAGACAAAGAAAGAATAGTAATAATAATAACAAAAGTCAAACATATAGATGTTATACATATTTGAAATCAACAACACATACTTCAGATTTTGATAATACAATTAAATATAAATAAATTATAAATATATACATTATTTACATAAATCATTCAGTAAATAGACATAAATATGGTTATCTACCCTTATAAAAACGAAGGCGAAACGAAGGCGAAGGCGAAACGATTGGTTTGTAAACTATTTTCTGATTGGTTCGTAGATTGTAGCTACATTCTAGGCCAGGGCAGATAATTTGAAATCGTGGAAGCCCTGTGGATTAACCCAGGGTATAGTGGAGTAGAACGGAATGAGTACACTGGGTAACCGAGGATGGGTACAGTTATATCCTATACTATTACCGTCCCAGTGTTGGCCGAGAAAGTTCATCGCGATTTTTCGGTGTGGTTCCCCCTTGTCAGTGATGCAGGACGGAGTTCCTGACAAGGGCAGCTATCTAGTCGTTCGGATGGGACGAAAAACCGAGGTCCCGTGTACACATTGGTGTGTACGTAAAAAGATCCCTTGACAGTTAGAATTCGATATAAGAGTAGGTCGTAGCGCCGTTGTCCGGGCAAAATTTTCTTCATAGCATACTGTATGGCGTATGCCCGTCTTCATTAGTCCAGTCGGAGTAGAACAGTAGGACGTTAAACCCCATTTCATTTCATAATATTATGGTTTATGAAATGAATTGAAATGAAATGGGGTTTAACGTCCTACTGACCTGGCCCGACAGGGCTAATGAAGACGGTACTGATTATGACGTCTAACCAAAAGATACTGGGAGATTGGGTGGATGAATGGGTTAACTCTTGTTATTGAGTCAAGTGGCGTGGTTTCGATTCCCCGTGTCACAGGCACTTGAAGGGATTAAAGCGAGAATTTCAAATTTTCTAAGAAAGTCAAAACATAATTATTTCTATGTCTTTTGCTCAATAGGTTATCAAATCACTATTATACGATAATGGGCATTATTTCCCACCCTTAAAAATCCATGACACAGGAAATAACAACACAATTACCTCCCCTGTTTTGCTATTGACAACATGGGGCAGCCATTTTCCAACGTTGGAATTTGAAGTTAAAAATGATATTTTTGCCAATTTCTCAGCTGGCAATAGTGAATTATAGGATTAATAAGATTATTCTTTAACAAGGTAGGACTGTTTATGGATAACATCTATTTTAAGGCTTTATCTTAATACATTTTAAAAATATAACTTGAAAATTTGCAATTGCAACTTTAAAATAAAACTTCTTACTGCTCTTGGATTTGTAATTAATAACGCTGTAAAATGACAAATTTAATTACATTGGAAGGTGTATAATGATCAAATAAAGTTTCGTTGGCAATAAAAACGACGGGAAGTGTTCGAACTAGTGAGCATTGTGAGATGATAGCAGACGAAATGTCGTCAACAAGTCAAAACAAAATGTCAGCTGATACACCTTCTAATATAGCCTATAGTCAAAGAGTAGTAAAAAGTTTTATTTTAATCCCTTCAAGTGCCTGTGCCCCGTGTGTATGTGACAAGGAGTAGGGTCGCCTGTCCAATCTCGTGTGTATTTTTTTACCGGGTCCTCCGGTTTCCTTCCGCATTTAAAGGCACCTACACACAAGCGAATTATTGAAATACAATTGAATCATAGGTTGAGGTTGTGTCGAATGGACGTTACCCTCTCTTTCTGTCTGGGTCGTAGACTCGAAACTAAACGGGATCCCACTGTAAGGAAATGAATTGAACAGGGGTTTAACGTCCTACTTTTCTGCACCAAAGTGACTGGTGAAGACGGGAATACGGATTTCTATCCTAAAAACTGCATGGGACAACATCATCTAATAAACAGACGCATTGTGATTCATTATTTCAGAACTGGGTTGTAAATTACTGGATAAACAAGGGTATGCCGTATGATAAAATAGTTATGGGCGTTCCATTTTATGGAAGAACATTTGCTACGATTAACCAGACGACTCATGAGCCTGGGGTATCGTTCAAGTCTGTCGGTATTGGTGGACCTTATACCGGAAGCAATGGACTAATCGGTGCTTTTGAGGTATGTTATGTGTAGATTATTTCTTCAGCCGTGTTTCGTACACCATAATACTGGGTTTGGGTATTTCCGGAGTCCAAAATGGCCGCTTTGTATAAATGAGTATTTTGGAGGGAATATTAGGCCTAACCCTAACCCATTTAGAAGACTGAACTTGGATCCAATTTACCCTTTACACCTGTTCAAATGGTTAGGGTTAGGGTTAGTATTCCCCAAAATACTCATTTATATAAAGCGGCCATTTTGGACTCTTACCCGAAATACCCGAACCTCCCCAACCGGCCTACAATTAGCATCTCCCGCTGAATATACTTCCTATTTCTGGACTTTAACGTCCTACTGTTCTGGACTTTAACGTCCTACTGTTCTGGACTTTAACGTCCTACTGTTCTGTTCTGGACTTTAACGTCCTACTGTTCTGGACTTTAACGTCCTACTGTTCTGGACTTTAACGTCCTACTGTTCTGCACCGACTGGGCTAATGAAGACGGACATGTACCATGTATTGTTTGTTATTGTTACAGTTATGTCTAGTATTAAATACCGGTTTGTTATAATTACAGTTATGTCAAGTATTAAACAGTTTTTGTTATTATTACAGTTGTGTAAAGTATTTGTTATTATTATAGTTGTGTCAAGTATTAAACAGATGTGTCACATATTAAACAGTTATTTGTTATTATTACAGTTATTTCAAGTATTAAACAGTTATTTGTTAGTATTACAGTATGTCAAGTATTAAACAGTTGTTTATTATGATTACAGTTTAGTAAAGTATTAAACAATTATTTGTTATTATTACAGTTGCTTGTTATTATTACAGTTGTTTGTTATTATTACAGTTGTGTCAAGTATTAAACGACCCCCGATATAAAGTAGAATGGGATTACCAGTCACAAGTTCCGTTTGCTTACAGTGATACGGATTGGATAGGTTATGATGATCAACAATCTATTCGAACTAAAGTAAGTTTTAAATAATTCCATTTCGTCTGGTAAACGTAGAAAGTTGTATTGGAAATCATTTGTATCATTAATACATGTATATCCTATTTACCATGGGGTTTAACGTCCACTCGACACAAACTAGGTCATTTCGGGACTAATATATGGTTCAATTCTTTTCCATAATTCGCTTGCTTGTAGGGGTCTTTATAGCAGTGGGAGGAAACCGGAGGACACGGAGAAAACACACGAGGGTGGACAGGCGACCCTACTCCTTGTCACGTACAACCGGGAAATCGAAACCACGCCAGTTGACTCAATGACAGACCTTATGATACAACGCTCACGCGCTAAGCATTTGCCCTCCCCCTATATATTTAAGAAGAACTATGTTTTTTTATATATATTAAGACAAATGAACCATGTTTTATTTGATGTTTTTATTTATTTCAGACAAACTATGTAATTAGTAGAAAATTGGGTGGTGTAATGATCTGGGATATCTCTTTAGATGATTTCAGTGGATCATTCTGTAACCAAGGAAAATATCCTCTACTCACAGAAATCAAAAACTTATTAACACAGAATTCTATAGTACGACCCAGTCGTCCGGGTCGTCCAATCTATAATATCAACCCTGTTTTAACCTATAGAGATTACTATAGGTTTTGGTTAAACAAATTCGTAGGGTAAAGTGGGGAAAGTGGGCTATGTCCTTTCTCCACGCACAGAAGGTTACGGAAAATATCTATACATATAAAAAGAGAAAGTTAGTTTGTGGGTTGCTATAGGAACCCAAACGGTTGAACTTATACATTTTAAAATATCTTTACAACATTCAGTTTGTTTACAGGGAATTTCATGATCCTATTGATATTGTATTTGATGGGGTGTTTAACAGTGGCGGCGCCAGCCGTCGGTGATTGGAGGGGCAAGGTTAAGGGGGCAAAGGCACGAGCTTCATCTAGGGGTAGGGGGCCTCCCCCAGAAAATTTTGAAAAACAGGTTGCCGGAAATGCAGCCTGGCAGTATTTCAGGCACTGATCGATGAGGTAAAGTGTCAAACGAACGGACTTGCGAATCACGACGAAGCCCACTCACGAGCGTCAAAATAGACTGCCGGAAATTCTGTCAGGCACCGATCGTCGAGATAAATAGGTCTGCCCAGATACCGTTCGTCGCCTGATCACTAGTTTATCCGACTAGAGAACAAAATGTCAAACGAACGGACTTGCGAAACTCTACGAATTCCCCTTGTGAGCGCCAAAGTAGCGATTCCATTGGGGGCCTCGCCAAGAAAATTTTGAAAAATAGACTGTCGGAAATGCTCTACAACATGAGTGGGGATGTGGGATTTATTCACCGTAGAAGGTATTGATTACCGAATAGTATCACAAATACTTTTTTTTATTTTCTAAAATTATTGGGGTGGAGGGGGGGGGGCAAACAGAGGGCAGACCAGATTAATGGGGGGGGGGGGGCCCTGGCGCCGCCATTGGTGTTTAATGAGAAAAATAGCCAATTAATGATTATGATTGTTAGAAAGATTCTAGAGCATATCATGCTTTTCTATACTGGCAAATTCTCAATATACAAAATCAAAACTGTAAAAAAACACAATAAAAACATGCTGTATGTTAGAAAAATATCAGTTAGGTTTGTCCATAATGTATTCTTAAATTCTAGAAACGAGCAAAGGTACTTTCATACGAATCGTCATTATCTAATGAAAATACACATGTACATCTCGTTTCGTTATTATGTGTAGTTTAATGATGTGCCAACATCAATGGATGACGTCACATCTGTATTTTAATTTATACTCATTGATTTGCTCGGTCTGAGTGGGAGGTCACGCCAGTGTTGATCTAGGTGACCTTTGACTGAATTGCCCAGACTTTTGATACTTGACCATTGTTTTGTTCTGCCCGTCATCACTGTATATGTGTCTCCCAGAATTCCATACACATCGAGAACAGAATTTGACTAAATAGATCGTTCCATTGGCTAACTCTCGAATATAAAATTGCTAATCGTTATTTGCGTTTTTTCGGCCCATATCTAGTTTTTAAAAGCTTAACCCACGCTAAAATGTAACCAGGTTGTTTTTTTTACATTGAATTAAGGAAACAAAATCAAAACATCAGGAATAGATAATCTCCTGGCTTAGATTTCATCGGATTAAAAAAAACAACAAACACGGATCCATCAGTTAAAGACATCTTTGTAAATAATGCACTGAATAAAACCATTTTTGTCCTGACATTCCTCAATCAGAATAAAATACAGATCTATATTTCGTTTCGGTTTTTTATACTCAAGATGGCCTACACTACCTGAAGATCTGACTGGTTGTAGTGATAGGTCGAGTCAGAGGTCATACGAGCGTCTTTTGACCCTATGACGTCAGACATCGATTAATCAGTCAAGAATTCGCCGTAACAACTCTTCCTAGTGTAGCAAAGATAAGTAAAACAAAATTTTGAACTATAAAAAACGAAACGAAATAGGATCTGTGTTTTAATCAGATTGCAACGGCTTAACATTCACGCAATTAACGACTAAAGTCTTTAAACAGAGAAAGTTATATTTTAGTTAGCAATTTTTATCCTGTGTTTAAGCATTTGCTTTCGGGTCAACTATAAGTGATGCTATTACTACCCTTGAGCATTACACCTTGCTCATGTTTGGTAGGGCTCACTACCTAGGTAGTCACGGGTTCACGCCATGTGATGGCCGAGAAAGTTCCACTTTAGACCTTTTAATAGGTATAAAATATGTAAAGAATGTTTTGTATATTTGTATTGTATACGTGTTACTGTTTGTTTTGTAATAAATTATCAAACAGCTAGAATTACCTTTATATCATTTAAGGTGCATTATAATAAGATTTAGATGAAGCTGCCCTTTCTTGCTGTAATAGTTCAAAAATAGATAATAAAAAATTATTATAATTTATATTTGAAGCCAGAACAAAGACCTTTTACATGATGCATCTTTAGTATCTATTGGGTAACAATACCTACGTTCAGGGCGCATTCGTCGTTGCCTGGCAACCTATGTTTATTTGTCCATATTGCATTTTCATCATCCCTTTAGGGCCGCCTGAGATTTAGGGTTGTTTTTTTATAAAATAAAAATGATTTCATAAGACGAATATTTTTATAATATTACCAGAATTGCATGTTATTGTATAGAGCACTTAACCGGAGGTAGAGCACTGAACCGGAAGTAGTGTAACTCCGAACCCGATTGTGTAGTTCGGCTATCCAGAGTTAGTATGAACTGCAAGGGAAGACAACTCTGTTTGAGAGATTGCAGTAGGCCTATGTGTCAACTCCCGCCCCAAGCTGCACTTATAGCCAAGTGGTGCCACTAATCGAGAACAAACTGACAAACGACAGTTGCAAATATATATATATTATTTTGATAGGCTTATTAAACAATATGCAAATTCACACTAAATATACATTACAAATTATACTGATTTAGATTAGAACTGGAGACGGCAATGGTTCCCCTTTTAATCCAGCTAATATATTTCTAGCCGTTACTTCACACATGGCCGACCTGGACTCGACAGTGGCGCTACCTATATGTGGCGATACGGTAAGGTTCGATAAGCTCAGTAGCTTGTCGTCCGTTGCTAGGGGCTCGGGTGTTGTGACGTCAATCCCCGCCGAACCTATCTCTCCCGTTGTCAGGGCTTCAAATAAATCATCCTGATTAACCAACGCGCCTCTGGTGACGTTTATAAAAATGGATGTGTTTTTCATGGCTTTAAAGGCACGCTTATTAAATAGTCCTTTATTTTCGTCCGTTATTGAACACGTTGCAATAACTATATCCGATTCTTTTAACAACTGAAGAAAGTCCACGAATTCTGCCCCGACTTCAGCATCGTAACTTTTCTTACTTCGTCCACAGTATAATATCTTAGAGAAACCAAACGGCTTCAGCCTACGTGTTGCCGCCATACCAATACGCCCCAATCCAACAACACCGAGTGTTTTGCCTTCAAGCAAAGTTCCCGTCATCCACATTCCACTTTCCCATGTGCCCCAACTACCATTGTGGACTGCTTGGAATGCTGAAATGATAAACACACGAATAATTTCAACTCCCTTGGACCATTCCTATCCAACATAGTCCCTTATTGTACACATTGACGTGCACCTAAAAGATCCCCTTGCAGTTGAAATTCGATTTAAGAGTAGGCCGTAGCGCCACTGTCCGGGCAAAATTTCGCTCATAGAACAATGTATGGCGTAGGCTATGGCCCTCTTCATTGGCCCAGTCGGAGCAGAACAGTAGGACGTCAAACCCGATTTCATTTCATTTCATTTATTTGTTGGAACGACGAGGAGAAACAACGGTGACCAACACAGGGATCGAACCCGGACCTTGGACTTCCTATATTCCTGAAGCAAGGACCTCGAGTTTTACATCTAAACGTTGCTAGACTGGTCTGCATTTCCCGATTATCTCACTTTAACGCAAACACGTGAACGATATCGTCGAATCAAAGGTGGTGACACAAACTAGGTCATTTTGGGACTAACATATGGTTCAATTTTATTTCAATAACTCCCTTGCGCATATGGGTGTTTAGCAATAGGCGGAAATCGGGCGAGGTTTAACAGGCGACCCTACTCCTTGTCACGTACAACCAGGGAATCGAAACCACGCCAGTTGACTCGATGACAGACCTTAGCACGCACTAACCATTCGGCCACCCAACCCCCCAGATTACCTAGGCACTTACAACAATGTTATATGATACTGTTTAAACAAAGTGTTATATGACTCTGTTTAAACAAAGATATGGCGTATCATAAAGGACAAATTTACCCTGTTGAGTGTCGATCTTATTCCGTATTTACTTTGTAAATTAATAAATTTAGATTTATCCTGGAATAAAAATTTGAATTAACACAGCAGTACAATTCATCATTTAAAACATAAAAAAGTATCTGGAACCGACCATGGCGTCATCACAGCCATCTTGATGTTGTGAGTTGGAAATGAAATGAAATAAAATGGTGTTTAACGTCCTACTGTTCTGCTCCTAAACTGGGCTAATGAAGACGGGCATACGCCATACAGTATGCCATGTGGGAAATTTTGCTGTTATATCGAATTCCAACTGTCATACCCTCCGTCCTGCATCACTCCGGAAAATCTGGAAGAACTTTCTCAGCCACCGTGACCCCCCTATTAGATGTGGAAGTCCGCCAAACGACGCGCATTTGTATGCCAAGTTACAGGTCATCGTACGGAGTCGCCCAAAGAAGATGATTACCAAATAGGTTCAAAATTGAAACACTAGGAAAACTCATAAAAACGGCATAGAGAGAAATCAAAAACTTACTAACACAGAATTCTATAGTTTAACGTCCACTCGACACAAACTAGGTCATTTCGGGACTAACATATGGTTCAATTTTATTTCAATAATTCGCTTGCGCGTAGGGGTCTTTAGCAGTGGGAGGAAACCGGAGGACCTGGAGAAAACCCACGAGGTTGGACAGGCGACCCTAATCCTTGTCACGTACAACCGGGGATTCGAAACCACGGCAGACCTTATGATACAGCGCGCACGTGCTAACCATTCGGCCACCCCCCTCAAGCGGCATAAAGTAAGATTAAATAAAGAGCTGACAGTTCTCGCTATAACATTTAAAAGAATGGATAATGAAAAGAGAATATGCTGAATTTCAGCCAAATTGCTTCACTCTGAGCTTAGATATCGGAGTTAAATTTATAGCCTAGCCTCGGTTGTCATTACTACTATTGTTACGATAATAAACAAAGTCTCGATTATCCATTTTTACGGTAACCGCATCGACCGCAAAACGTATTTAAATCTACTTATATCGCATGGTCTTGTTATGTTAATAAATGTATAAGTAATAGTTTAGATAACATTTCAGACCTAAAGAAAGACCTGCAATAGGCAGATTTAGCTCTTACATAATGCCTCACACTGATCAGCAGTGAATATTCGCTAGGCCGCGACAATCACTGATAAGGATGACATCGATGCGACTTAATGAACCACAAATATTAACTTTTTTCCTCCCACAAATTAAATTCTAAAACATTTTTATTATGTATTAGAAAAATAAATAAAGACGTTTGGAGTATTTGTAGTTAAAATTATTTCCTATTTTTGTGTAAATGGGTATTACAATGAGTAAAAGGCGCCATTCTGATCGAATCAGTAACGTCTTATGTAAACAATGCACGCGCCATTGAGCCAATTATTGACGCCGCGTGATATGGCGTCATGTATTGAAGGCAGCCATCTTTTACAGAGATATTAGGAGACTTTCGTAATACTGTGTGAAACAGATTGATAATGACTGTTTAAGCGACATCGGAAGTATCTACTGACATAAGATACAGTCATGTAATATTGAGTTTATCTAAATATTCATATACACGCACCTGTCTATTTATAGTTATAATAATGTATATGTATATCTATAGACAAAGATTATCTCTTCTTACAACCATCTATATAATATTAACCTATACTGATAAATTACTTAGTACTAGATAACCGAACACAAGATAAAAGACTTAGTGCTGGATAAGCGAGCATACGATAAAATAGAATACCATTGTTGAAAGCGAAACCATGGACCTTATAATAAATAAGGTCCATGGTGAAACTCAATAAGAGGTCTGGATAAGGGTTTTAAAAAAACAGGTCATGTTAGATACACGCATCCACTGATCAAGATTGATCATGATCTAGCGCAGCTGGTTAGGATGGATGCCTTGATACACGTCATAAACATATCAAGGAAGGTCGTTTAACGGCCTACGTTTGTTTTTCTACCAACCGAGACAGTTCCTCGGGATTTTTTCGCGTAGTTTACTCTAGTCAGTGACAGAGGGCCTGGCGAGAAACGGTGCCCCGAGTACACGTTTGAGTACAATGGAATTTGATGAAAAGCAAGCGGAACGAAACCTCTGCTATCCGGGCAAAATCGCTCCCAAAGAGAGAGAGAGAGAGAGAGGGAGAGAGACAGCGAGAGAGAGAGAGAGAGAGGGAGAGAGACAGCGAGAGAGAGAGAGAGAGAGAGAGATGGGATTTAACGTCCGTTCGACACAAACCAGGTCATTTCAGGACTAAAATATGGTTCAATTGTATTTCATTAATTCGCTTGCGTGTAGGGATAACCCGCTCCTTGTAAGGTATAACCGGAGAATCGAAACCACGTCAGTTGACTCAATGACAAACCTTATGATACCACGCGCACGTGCTAACCATTCGACCACCCCATAAAGCATTACATGGTGTGTGCCTGTCTTCATAAGCCCGGTTGATGCAGAAAAGTAGGGCGTTGAACCCCATTTTATTTAGTTTTCGGTATCATCACAACTGTTTTGTGTGAAGTAAGCGATATGTGGACCTACCTTGTTTCATCCTTCTAGCTGTGGCTAACAGCAAGGTAACAGTTAATTCTGCTACAGCTGAAGTTAAAACACCAGGGGTATTACCCACGGGGATGTTTCTCTTCTTACATTCTGCTAGATCTACATGATCTAAACCAACAGACATGGTACCAACAACTTTTAACTGTGGACCTGTTAATAAATAACACAACAACACAACACATGAAAAAAATACACAATAAAAGAGGACAATAAACAACAAAACACAATAAATAACATATTACACAACACAAGAACACAACGCACAACAATGAACACAATACACATCCAATCTGATTAAAACACAGATCCTGTTTCGTATCGTATTTTATAGTTCAAGATTTCGTTTTACTCGTCTTCACAACACTAGGATCTGGAAGAGTTGTTATATAACAGGCTTTCTAGTTGATGTGAGGAATTAGCCAATGAAACGATCTGTTACGGCGAGTTCTTGGCGTGTTCTGCAAGGAACTGTGGGTAAACCCCTAGAAACGTCAAAGATGATTGATTAATCAATGTCTAACGTCATAGAGTCAAATGCCGCTCGTATGACTCTTAACACGACCCCCCAGTACAACCAGTCAGATCTTCATGTAGTAGAGGCCATCGAATTCGAAAGTATAAAAAAAGAAACGAAATATAGATCTGGGCCCTTATTCACGAAAACTTAAACTAAGATACAATCGAAATTTTAAGAAATACTGCAATTCGATTGGCTGACCAGTTAAATCAATTTGCATATATCCAATTTGCATATTGGTCAGCCAATCGAATTGCAGTATTTCTTAAAATTTCGATTGTATCTGAGTTTAAGTTTTCGTGAATAAGGGCCCTGTTTTTTAATCAGATTGATGCACAACAGAAGAAAAAATGAAATGAAATGAAATGAAATGAAATGAAATGGAGTTTAACGTCCTACTGTTCTGCACCGAACTGGGCTAATGAAGACGGGCATACGCCATACAGTGTGCTAAGAGGGAAATTTTGCCCGGACAGCGGCACTATGGTCTATTCTTATATCGAATTCCAACTGCCAAGTGATCTTTTACGTGCACGCCAATTTGTACACGGGACCTCGGTTTTTCGTCCCATCCGAACGACTAGACATCACTGACACGTCGGAAAACACAACAGATGAACACCCTACAGAACATACTACATTACACGATGAAATAACAGCAAAAGAACACAGAACACAACAAAAGAACAAAGAACACAACAAAAGAACAAATAGGGACGAAAAACCGAGGTCCAGTGTCAGATTGGCGTGCACGTAAAAGAATACTTGACAGTTGTCATTTGATATAAGAGAAGGCCCCATTTCATTTCATATCGTATATAATGCGATATCCCTTGTGTAAACCTGGCTTGAAGCACATTCATCGATAACCAACTTACCCGCTGCATCGAACAGCTCCGAGTCCACGCGTATAGGTGGATGAACAAATAGAGCGTGGATTCCCTTTACTCTGCGTAACAGTTCTTCTCTGGGTATGGGATCCTCACTCTCCCATATTTGTAGCTCACATTCTTGTGCAAGAAGTGCGACACCATTCGGTGGAGCTGATCTAGTGAAAAACACTGTCGGTTTAACTGACATATTTCAAGCTACACAAACTAGTTTGCCTCGCGTCGTATCGAGCGTACACCAACTTGTGACTAGGTCAATTTAAGCTATGTACACAATAGATAAGAGGTGGTGGCGCTTGCATCATTTGAGTAACTTGACGATAACAAAAATGAAATGAAATGGGTTTTAACGTTTTTCTGTTCTGCTCCTATACTGGGCTAATGAAGACGGGCATGCGCCATACAGTGTGCTATGAGGGAAATTGTGCCCGGGTAGCGGTACTATGACCTATTCTTATATCGGATCGAAACTACCAATGGATATTTTACGTACACGCCAATGTATACACGAAACAACTAGACCGACTGTCCTTGCCAGGCCCCCAGTCCTGCACCACTGACAAGGGGAAACCACGTCGAAAAATCCGATTAACTTTCTCAACCAATGCAGGGAACTCCAGACTAGCGAGCCAGCGTCTTACCCCTTTAGCCACAACTTAACGATAAAATCATACAATAACTGATACATGTATTTAATGAGTGCCATACGTACGAAAGCCGTAATCCAATCTACCTAATTTCCTGCAAACGTTGTCCTAAACAGTCTGTCGGGGAAACTAAAAAAATCTTTGAGAGAGCGGGGAATAGAGCACCTATCAGACGTAAGTAGAAAATCCGAAAAACCTATCTCCGCCCATTTCAACATGCAGAAATAGTCAGATTTTCTACTCAAGATTTTCTGCTCGAGATTTTCTCCATGCATATTACGGAAATAAATTTGATCACGTGACTATTTCTGCATGTCATTAAAATACGGTATTATGGGATCGTTTATTTTTACGGGAAAATACCGTATCTTGAGTAGAAAATCTGAAGTTGAAAGTCGAATGTCAAAAGTTGATTATTGAAAGTAGAAATGTTGTTGTTGAAAGTAGAAATTCTGTTGTTGAAAGTAGAATATTTACGACTTAAAGTTGAAAAGGTGGACGTATTAGGTTGAAAAGCACGAGCGGTATATGTTTCCCACACGAAAATGTCCATTTTGGATAAGAATTTTCTCTTTTACTTTTTATTTTCTACTTTCTACTGCAGATCGCATTTTGAACCTGATACCCCGCCATAAACCCAAACCAACTGATGGACTGCTTGTTATCTTAGTCCAGCATAAGAAATCCGAAAAATAACCACACTTCAAGGTCAATTTTTCAAAGCACCTAAGCCATTGAATTGCTTAAGCAATTTGTTAAGACCTAGGGCCATGATTCTTGCGGGGGTCCTATTTAGGAACCCCCACCCCATTCAAAACCCTAACCCTAATCCTCTGGATGTGTTTTTCGCCAAGTAAATGTCAAAAGCAAAAACACTGACTGGACCTCCTCAATCCACCAGACTGGGTAACCAGCGGCTGCCCACAATTCGCAAGAGATGGATAGAGAACAAGCTAAACAAAAAGCGATTTTTCGTACAATAAGGGGCCAAAATTCAGGAAGTTACGATCCGATATGCGTAAATATCGAACGGAACCAAGATCGTTGGGTTATAAACTTACATTTCAAGTTTCATCAAAATCAGAAGACAATTGTCACCTCTACAGGGTCCACAACCTTGATATACCATATTTGTACACTATTTGAGTACGAGGGACGGCCATTTTGTCTGTCAGTTTTGGGCCGATTTTCACGACATTCGAACTCAGCCGTCCTTTGGGTGTAAAGGTGATATATTAAAACGTTTTTTTAATTCAGATAATAATTGTGACCTCTAGAGGGACCTCAAGCTAAAAACGTGATTTTTCGTACAATCAGGGACCATAATTCAGGAAGTTACGGTCCGATATGCACGAATATCGACAGGAACCGACATCCTTGGGTTATAAACTTACATTTCAAAATCGGAAGAAAATTGTGACCTCTAGAGGGTCACAACCTTGACATACCCCATTTTTACACTATTTGAGAACAAGGGGGCGGCCATTTTGTCTGTCAGTTTTGGGCTGATTTGCATGAAATTCGAACTCAACCATCCTTAGGGTGTAACGGTGATATACTAAAACGTTTTTTTTTTTTTCAATCGGATAAAAATTATTACCTCTATAGGGTCCACAAGCTAAAAACGCGATTTTTCGTACAATCAGGGGCCATAATTCAGGAAATTACGGTCCGATATGCGCGAATATCGAAAAGAAACGCGATCTTCGAGGTATAAACTTACATTTCAAGTTTCAACAAAATTGGATAAAAATTGTGACCTCTATAGGGTCAACAACCTTGATTTACCATATTTTTACGCTTTTTGAGAACGAGGGGCGGCCGTTTTGGGCCGATTTTCACGAAATTCGACCTCAACCAGCCTTAGGGTGTAACGGTGATATACTAAAATGTTTTTTTTTTCAATCGGATAAAAATTATTACCTCTATAGGGTCCACAAGCTAAAAACGCGATTTTTCGTACAATCAGGGGACATAATTCAGGAAATTACGGTCCGATATGCGCGAATATCGAAAAGAAACGAGATCTTTGGGGTGTAAACTTACATTTCAAGTTTCAACAAAATTGGATAAAAATTGTGACCTCTATAGGGTCAACAACCTTGATTTACCATATTTTTACGCTTTTTGAGAACGAGGGGCGGCCATTTTGGGCCGATTTTCACGAAATTCGACCTCAACCAGCCTTAGGGTGTAACGGTGATATAATAATACGTTTTTTTAAATTGGATAAAAATTATTACCTCTATAGGGTCCACAAGCTAAAAACGCGATTTTTCGTACAATCAGGGGACATAATTCAGGAAATTACGGTCCGATATGCGCGAATATCGAAAAGAAACGAGATCTTTGGGGTGTAAACTTACATTTCAAGTTTCAACAAAATTGGATAAAAATTGTGACCTCTATAGGGTCAACAACCTTGATTTACCATATTTTTACGCTTTTTGAGAACGAGGGGCGGCCATTTTGGGCCGATTTTCACGAAATTCGACCTCAACCAGCCTTAGGGTGTAACGGTGATATAATAATACGTTTTTTTAAATTGGATAAAAATTATGACCTCCCTAGGGTCCACAAGCTAAAAACGCGATTTTTCGTACAATCAGGGGCCATAATTCAAGAAGTTACGGTCCAATATGCACGAATATCCCAAGGAACCGAGATCTTGGGTTTTAAACTTACATTTCAAGTTTCGTCAAAATAGGATTAAAATTGTGACCTCTATAGGGTCCACAAGCTAAAAACGCGATTTCGCGTACAATCAGGGGCCATAATACATGAAGTTTCGATCCGATATATGCCAATATCTTCTTTTGAAGATAAACCTATTGCAAGTTTCGGCAAAATCGGATAAGACTTGTGACCTGTGGAGTGTCCACAAACAAATTGTGGACGGACGTCCGGATGGACAGGGGCGACGACAATATACACGTCCACATGAAAATGTGGGATATAAAAACGGTATTTTCGATGCTCCCCGCCTTTCCATCGATGACCGGCGATTATCCCCATAAGTTCAAATGACCGTCGATTATTAATATTAGTATATTTTGTTATTTGAACGTCCCTCGTGCCTTATATGTTATTTTGGTGAAAGGTCATCACGTTTTCGTGACAAAATCAGACAATCGCGGTTGCCGAAGGGAAGGGGGCGGAACTCGTGTATAAATCTGAAGGTATCAGACCACATTTACTCTCGTCAGTATTTAGTAGCTAGTAGAGACGTGTATAAATGTATGGGCTGGCATGGCAAGCTTCCATATCGACCCAATCTAACCAAAGTAGTGCCTTTGAACCAATGGCCAATGATTATCTTCAAATAACAATTGATTATCACCGTTACTACCATATGTTTCATTATTTGAACGTTTCACGTTTTGTGTCAAAACCAGACTTTAACGCTTGCTAGATAGGTGAAAGGGAAGGGACATAACTCGTGTATAATATTTCAGGGATCAGCCCAGAGTTATTCTGACATAAACTTAAGAGCAGATAATCACATAGATTTATGGGCTGACATGATTATCATAACCTGGATATAAATTATTGTCCACATACTCATGTAAGAACCCCACGAAAAAACATTTAGAATGTTCATGTTGAGACATTTAATATATGTCCGTGTCCATATGCAGGAGACCATCCTGCTCTCCACTTTGAAATCCCTGAAGGTGAAGATGACATAGATCACATGGCGTCACAGATAATTGAGATAGTGATGACTACAGATGCCAACTTCCTACTTATACCTACGTTCGAGCGGAAGAGATATACTGCCGACATTCAGGAACACCTCGGCAGGACCGTGTTGTTGTTGGTCTATGTCATCTTCTCCCTCAGACCAACAATATTTAGCATATTTATACTGGACCTTGATTTGTCGGAATAAATTGTTTTCTCGATGGTTTCTGCCCACTTTATCAATGACATTATTGTGCTTTTTTTGGACAATTAGCTAATTAGATAATACACCCACTTAGCTAAATAGATGTCGAATATCTCATAAACTTCTTTCGACAAAACAAGTATGGGGGGTGGATCACCAAGATTATATACAAGTTATTCGACAACTAAAGTTTATTGTTAGCTATGGACAATGTAGTGTTATTCAACATTGATCAAATAGATGTAAAAATCTACATTGTCATTATTCATCGTCAGTAATTAATACAATCTGATTAAAAACACAGATCCTATTTTGTTTCGTATTTTATAGTTCAAAATTTTCGTTTTACTTTCTTCACAACACTAGAATCTGGAAGAGTTGTTATAAAACAGGCTTTCTCTAGTTGATATGAGGATAATAAGTCAATGAAACGGTCTGTTACGGCAATTTCTTGGTGTGCTCTGCACGGAACTGTGGGTAAACCCATAGACACGTCAACGCTGATTGATTAATCAATGCCTGACGTCACATGCAGGATCAAAAGCGTGATGCGCCCTCCCAGTACAATTTGTTAGATCTTCATGTACTGTAGGCCATCGAAAGTATAAAAATACGAAACGAAATATACATTTGTATTTTAATCAGGTTGTAATTAATAGAACTGTTCATAGCAAGATATATATTTCAGTTTTTGAATAACCACTATCAATGCATGCTCCTTTTGTTGTATTCTAATCTTATCACCATTGGAAACTTGTCGGATTTTCACAGGTATTGTTCTGCACTGAGTGTAAAATACTGGTAGTCATATTGACTATAATCTCCATCTC